ACTGAATACTTGAGTAAGGTGATGTCTGCTAGATTCTCTTTTGTAATGTTCTCATTTTTAAAATGAGAATTTTATGAGGAGTTGCTTTGAACCTATGTAACTATCTCATTCCTTGTCCAACCTTTACCCACTAGATTTAGCAAACACTGATGGTTCTTCTCTGATGATTAGCAAATGGTGATTTTTTTCCCCAAAGTTTTATTTACATTCTAGTTAGTTAACATACAGTGCAATATTGGTTTCAGGAGTAGAATTCAGTGGTTCATCACTTACATACAAGACCCGCTGCTCATCACAACCAGTGCCCTCCTTGATGCCCATCCGCCGCCCACCTCCCTCCATCAACCCTCAGTTTGTACTCCATCTTTAAGAGTTTATTGTGATTTTTCCCTTTCCCCCCGCCTCCCATATGTTCATCTGTTTTGTTTCTTAAATTCCACCTAAGAGTGAAATCCTATGGTATTTGTCTTTCTCTGACTGATTTATTTCACTTAACATAATACACTCTAGCTCTAGCCACGTCATTGCAAATGCTAAGATTTCATTTTTTTGATGGGGAGTAATATTCCATTATATATATATATGTATATATATATATATTTATACCACATCTTCTTTATCCATTCATCAGTTGATGGACATATGGGCTCTTTCCATAGTTTGGCTATTGTTGATAATGCTGCTGTAAACATTGGGGGGGCATGTACCCCTTCAAATCTGTATTTTTGTATCCTTTGGATAAATACCTAGTAGTACAATTGTTGGACCGTAGAGTAGTTCTATTTTTAACTTTCTGAGGAAACTCCATACTGTTTACCAGAGTGGCTGCACGAGTTTGCATTCCCCAAATGGTGATTTTCTAATTCCATTATTCCTTCTAAATTTATTAGTTACATTCTAGTATAAGGATGGCCTGTGTCTTCCCCTCATTTATTTACTCATAAAAAAAAAAAAAAACCATCAGCGTGGACTCATGGATTCTACTTTACTCCATGGGACATAATCTCTACTATCATTATTTATTTTGATGTTCCAATTTCCCAGGTTTGGCCAGTGGGAGCCCCTTCAAGCGGACTCCTTTGTCCTTTTGAAATGTCTCCCTCACTCTTCGGGCATTTTCCTATTTTCTGGCCCAATAAGAAGTTCCAGGCTCATCTTATACTTTCTCTGTCCTGACCCTGAAATCAGATCTTTCTTCAAGGAGCCCTGGTTCCTTTGGGTGGAAAATGGTGTTTAGATCTGGGTGTGAGGTATTCTCCTGGCTGTTTGCAGTGTTGCTGCTCAAAGCTCTTTCAGTGGACAGAGCTAGGAAGTATATATTCACATGTATATACTTTTTTAAAACGATTTTTATTTATTTGGGAGAAAGAGAGAGAGACAGCACAAGCAGGGGAAACGGCAGGTAGAGGGAGAAGCAGGCTCCCTGCTGAGCAAGGAGCCCAATGCGGGACTCAATCCCAGGACCCTGGGATCATGACCTGAGCCGAAGGCGGACGCTTAACCCACTGAGCCACCCAGGCATCCCGTATATATACTTTTATATATATACTGAAAGCCTTAAGTTCACATCAATACCTCCAATTCCAATCTGACCACTCAAGTCTTCTTGCTTGTCCACTTTATGTATTTGTAACCCCGTTCCCCAACAGTGATAAATCTGGCTTCCATTATCCTCAATATAGTTTTTGATTTGTGTAGTCCCCTTGTGTATATAATCAGCCACCTGACTTTCCAGGTCTGCACCCCCTTTCCTTTATTTGGGCTCTGATCTCCACACTGGGCTGACTTCCTAGCTGAATAGGGAAATGGCTATATTCTCCTGTGTCGATGGAAAAGCAGAGAGAACTAGTAGGTAGAGAAAGATACATAGATAAGCAAATACAGAGAAAAAAAAATCACAGAAGAAGGACACAGAGAGTACCTTTGAGTTCCTGAAAGCTTTCCAACTTTTGGGTTTAGTTCTTTGCTGTAGCTCTATTCCTGCTCCCAGCTTTGTGAGAAGTCCTACAACCTTATGATAAAATTCTTCCCTTTTGGTTAAGCTACTTCAGGTTGGTTTCTGCTACTTGCAAACAGAGAGTCTTAAACAAAGGTATATTTATATCCTGGCTTGTTCTACAAAAAAAAAAAAAAAAATTATGGAAATAATCAGGGCAAAGGGAAAATAAAAATTTCCCAGAGAAAATGCATACCACATGGTACTGTACCGTTGCTTAACATGGGCTGAAATATTAGCTCTAAGATTTCTAGTTATCCAAACAAAGTGTGAAACTCTATCCCTTACAAGAGTTTAGGTCTCCAGATTTAAAAACAAATCAGCAACTGGAGCATGAATAGATAGATCATCGGAACAAAATGCAGAGTGTAGAAGTGAAGTCTTCAGCAAATGGCCAATAAGTGGCAAACTGTGTAGCCATCTGGAAAAAAAAATAATCTGGATCCATCCCTCATCCCATATACTGAATCAGTTCCAAATGGATCAATGTTTAATTGCAAAAGCCTGGAAGTCTAAATGTCACCAATAGAGAATTGGTTAAATAAATTATGGCACACCCCAGCAATAAATGTTATGGGGACCGAAAAAAAAAAAAAAAGCAAGGAACTCTGTATATATTGCTATAAAATATTTCCTGGATATATTATGTAAAAAAAGCAAGGTATGGTAGGTATGTGTAGTATGTTACCATTTTTGTAAATGCGGAAGTCTTGGCTTGTATATGCATAAAAAAGTTCTGCAGAAGAATAAGAAACACTGGTTACCTGTTAGGGGAACAGGTGTGGGAGAGAGTTTCTTTTTATGCTGTTTGATGGATGAACTGTATGTATGTACCACTTATTTTTTTTTAAAGATTTTTTTTTTTTTTTTTTTTTATTTATTTGACAGAGAGAGACAGCGAGAGCAGGAACACAAGCAGGGGGAGTGGGAGAGGGAGAAGCAGGCTTCCCGCGGAGCGGGGAGCCCGATGTGGGACTCGATCGCAGGAACCTGCGATCATGACCTGAGCCGAAGGCAGACGCTCAACGACTGAGCCACCCAGGCGCCTGTACCACTTATTTTTAAAATTAAATAAAAATTGGTGAAAATCAGACAAACCTGCTGATGGAGAAGCTCAGCCAGTCTTGAGAGATTGAAAAGACAGCAGGAGGGGCTAAAAGTTTTACCTGCCCACAAATTCCCACTGCTAGTGGATCCCAGCCTATCTTCACCCTGAGAAGTCATCCTTCTCATAAAGGATTCTCTCCAAAAAGCCTTAATGTGTGTTATGGGGGAGGTCTTTGGCTAAGAAATGCTTTTATGGACATCTGCCCAAAGCATTCTATTTCCTAATTTTGCCCATGAACATTCTATGTTTCAGTGAAACTTCAAGCCAATTTATGGTAGATATATGATCAAAATTTAAAAAAAAAATTTTTTTTTTTAGTTTATTTGACAGAGAGAGCACATAAGCAGAGGGAGCTGGGAGGGAGAGGGAGAAGCAGGCTCCCCGCTGAGACACCCCAATGTGGAGATCCATGTGGAGCTGGATATCAGGACCCTGGGATCATGACCTGAGCCGAAGGCAGACCCTTAACTGACTGAGCCACCCAGGTGCCCCATGATCAAAATTTGAGCACAGTAGTGACTGACTGCACACCAGTCCCAAAGCCAGACTACCTAGGGTTCTAATCTCGGTTGTACACTTATTAGCTGCTTACTTGCTGGAGGTTAGTCAGTTTCTTCAGCTGTTAAAAAGGGGGCGGTTACAACCCCCACCTCACAGGGTCCAGGTTAGTATCACAGGCCTGTGAACCCTAGAGCAGCCTGTCCAATAGCGATAAAATGTGGGCCACACAAGACATTAAAATTCTTCCAGCACTCACATTAAAAAAAAAAAAGAAACAAGTGAAACTAATGTTTATCCCAACCTAAAAAATATTATCACTTCAGCATGTAATCAATAAATGATCAGTGCGATTCTTACTTTTTTTTTTTTTTCGTAAAGAACACATACATCCGAGTCCAACCAGCACATCCCAGTCGGGACTAGCCAATTTTTAAGTGCCGGGTAGCCACGTGGGGCTGGTGGCTGCTGTATGGAACCCTGTCTCTGGCACGTAGTCGGTGCTAACTGCTAATGCTTAAGATTGGAAGCATGGTCTCTGTTATCCTCTGGAGTACACCAGTCTATCAGGGGGAGCCCTCTGCCAGGGATGCCTACATTTTGGGCTATTCACAGAATTCTCTTTAAGCCAGTCACGTACTTGACCTCCACGCATACTTTAATTCACAGCCACGAGGTTTGGCAGAGGGTTGCGACCTATGCAAATGAGCAATTTACATAAGTGGGGCTGCCGTCTCCATCCCATTATCCGGTTATCCCAGTAGTTCCGGGGCGGGGGTGGGGGTGGGGTCTGTTGTCTCCCCAAACGTGGAGGGCCCTGCACCACCACCGCGGGGGAGAACCAGGCGAGTGGGAAAGCCCTTTAAAAAGGGGAGGCGGTGGTAAGAACAGCGCTGAGCCTCCGGAGAACAATTCCGGCCGTGGGGAAGGACCACGTTTAGGGGGCGGTGCGTGCCAGAGGGGCAACAATGGAGGCGGACGAATTCCGAGAGCCAGGAGGCTCTGCCGAGCTGAGCTGGCGCCCCGCACTCTCGGCACGCGGGCCCAGGACGGCGGCGAAGGCGCCGGGCCACAGGCAGTGGATCTCCCGGGTCCACTCCGGGCGCAGGGCCGCAAACACCGCCTAGCTTCCGCCTCCCGCGTCTGCTGTCTCCCGGCTCCTGAGTGGCTGCGGGGCCAGGATTAACCTTTCACCGCCGCACTCTGTCCAATCACAGGCTCGCTCTCATGCCGGCGCCGGGCGAGCAGGGCGAGCGGAGCGTGGGGGCGCGGAAGGGGCGGTGCGGGCGCGGGTGGGATTCTCCAAGCGCCTGTGCGCCGTTGCCGCGGGCCGTGCGCGGGCTGCGGGCGAGCCGGGCTCTGCGCAGTCTCCGCAGGCGCCGGCGGGAGGGGTCGAGGCGGAGGCGCGGCGCGGCGTAGGCTGCTCCAGGCCCAGGTGAATGGAGTAACCTGACAGCGGGGACGAAGCGACGGCGAGCGGGAGGAAATGGCGGCGGCGGCGGCGGCGCCGGGCGGTACCGGGAGGCCTGGGCTGTGACGCGCGCGCCGGAGAGGGGTCCGATGGTTCTCGAAGGCCCGCGGCGCCCCGTGCTGCAGGTGAGGCGGGCTCCCGCGGAGTCGCTTTGTGTGCGGGGCGGGGAGCGGCTCTGCCCGGCCCCCGCGCCCGCCTCCGCGCCGAGGCCCGCGTGGGCGCCCGGGCCGGGACCCGCCGGGGAGGGGAGCCGGCGCGACCAGATGGCGCGGCCTCGCCTGGTCCCGGGCGGCGCGGCCTGCGGGCCGGGCGTCCCCCG